GGGAGATAGCTCAGTAGAATAAGTGCTTGCCTGGCAAGAGCAGGGTCTTGAGTTCAATCCCCAGTACCTCAATTAATTAATTAAAATAAATAAAATGTATCTGAACATAAATGAATTTTGTGTTTAGGCTGAAGTCCCATCCATTAGATGTTTTACTAGGTATTTACAAATATTCCAAATTCTACAAAAGTCTAAAGTCTAGTCCAAAGCATTTCAGAAAAGGGATACTCTATCTGCACTGAGCTTGTAGACAGCTTCTCCTGAGGAGTTAGTCATGGCCCCTCTTCCCATTTGCATAGCACTCCTGGACCATGCTACCTGTTTGACCTCTGAAGCAAGTGGTACTACAGAGTCATGTTACCCATAGCCCTCTCTGCCTTTGCTCTGAGGTGCAGACTTGGCCTGCAGATGCTCAGAGCTCAGAGCTCAGGCTGGGGCTCTGGGCCTGGCCCCAGCTGGCCAGTTTCATTACCACAAGTGGCTTTCCTCTCCTTTGTGTTGCAGAAGGAGAAAACAAAAACACTGCAGCCACAGAGGTTTATTGAGAATGTGCAAGCAATCAGTTCCAGACATTTCAGCATAATCCAGCCCAGGAGGGCTCTGCTTTGAGAGAACTGAATAGATAGATCCTTGACCCCAGCATGGGAAGAATGTTTGGGTAGGCTCTGACAATCAGTCATAAGAACTTTCCTCTTTGCATACGTTTCTATGTAAATGAGTGATGGGACCAAAGGCTTCTCATGACGAGCCATGGGGCAAAGGCAAGCTATTTGGCCAACTTGTGCAGATTCAGGAGCAAATGACAATGTAAATCACTAATGAAAGTAAATTCCTCTTCTTACTAAACTCAGTGAGAACATATATTTGATGATCATTTCATCATTAAGTAGCCTTATATATAAAAACAGAGTACTGCTTCTATTGGTGAGTTTTCCATAAGCTAGATTCAAGTAGACTTGCAGTTGGAGTTTAACTTTTTTTTTTTCTGGTACCGGGGATCAAACTTGGGATGTTGTGCTTTCCAGTCAGGTGCTTATGCTGCTGAGCTATCTCCCTGGCCATGCAGTTGGATTTTAAAAGTAATTGTTCTTGCCTATCCCATTTGTTATACTGTATTGTTTTGCCTACTTTCCTCAAACTTAAAAATGTGCAGTTAATGTGGAAAAATAGAACTGAAAATATAGCTCCAACTTGCTGGGAACAGAATCTGAGCTTAACAGTGATATCCAATAAATGAGTTTATTTTATTTTTGGGTTTTAGGTCCCACTCTGGAGCCTAGACTGGCCTCAAACTCACAATCCTCCTATCTCAGCCTCTTTATTGCTAAGATTATTAAGTGTGCACCATCACACCTAGAAAGAAATTACTTTTTAAGGAGCAGAATATATTTATTGAGGGAAGGAAAGCTTCTGTCCAAGAGAGGGACAGAAGAGGACTCACTTGGGTTGCCCACGAACCTGCCTTTTCTAGGGAGTTTTATAGAGCAGATCCACCAAGTTGGAGCCAAGGTGGGAGACATGGAACTCCCAAGGTGGGCATGAGACAGAACAAAACTATGGTCAGTAAAATTACAAGCATAGTTGCTCATGTAAAATTCATTAAATCAGGATCAAATGGGTGAAGCAAGTTGTGTAAGAAATGATTTTATATTCACAATTCACGATATAGCTCAGAGCCAGAGCCTCTCTACATTGGTAGCCAGAACTCAACATTCTTGTGATGTGGCCCATATTTCTCAGCTGAGAATACATCCACATCTAACAAGGTTAAGTTCTAGCATCAAGCAAATCGCCTGTGTTGCAAAGTGAGACCTAACACTGAAGACTCACATCAGCTAGGCACATACTTCTCTATGAAACGCCATGGAAAGGTGGGTATTACCTTTAGTTTACAACCTGTCTTGGGTCACAGTTTAACAGATGGCAAAGCCAGCATTTGAGCAGTGATGTCTGATGCTGAAGCATATGTATTCAGTACTATTCCAAACAAGATCAGGGAATGTAAAGGGTTTTTACTTGAGGCATGAGGGAAAGCCAAAGCCTGGTCTCTATTCTGCCTCTCTCCCTACCCCACTGTCTTAAGAATACAGTTTCCAGGAGAAGCATTGTAAAAGAGATGATTTACACACAGGTTTCACCTGCTCAGATCGTAGGATTAACCCAGGTTCTTCAAACTCCTTGTTGTGATTCCTTGTTAGATTTCCATTGGAAGAACTGCAAATAAAATCTTGTTTTTATTGCTTAGAATACTGGGAATCTAAGAATCCCTGCGAAGTTACCATGACCATGCAATTCATGGAGTATATTATTCCTTGCAGGCCAGGATCCAGAAGTATTGCACCCACTTTCCAGGTTCCTAAATGCATGGTTCCTAAAAGTGGCATTCTGCCAGAATCTTAGCTTTCATAGGTATAAAGCTACAATCACAGGTTCAGTTGGATTCAAGCTCCTCCCACATTTCTGACTTCTCTGTGTATCTACCATCTTCTGTAAACTTTCTCAGAGGCAGATGAAGGGATGCTTTGCACTGCCCTTACTTTTACTTTGGTATTTCAGAGCTATTTTCATGTATGAGCACAAGTCCCCATAGAGAAGAGCTCCAAATTAAAGTACATGGCTTTAGGCCTCCCATTTCCTCTGCCTTCAGCCATCTGACATTCACCATGTGACATTACTTAAATTCACAAATAAAACTGTTGTTTAAAGATTTTTATTAAAAACTCATTAAATTCATTTTCTCCTTCTAAAAGTCCCAGGAATTGCTACCATGTGCATTGTATCTTAAAACACACTGCACATAATATAAACCAGTAGGATTTTGGTTTTAAGTAGTGTTTTCTGAGAAAGACTGCATTCTTTGCCAACATCTCACTGATGCACGCATTGCACAGGCATGTACATATGTGCACGCGTGCACACACACACACACACACAAACACTGTCATTGAGACAGTTAAGAAATGAACAATACGAACAAACAAAATAAAAAATTCCTAAGATTGATGCACAACCCACAGAAACCAAGAAATGATACTTGAATTCATACAAATGATGAATGTCCCTATATCCAAAACACCATGCACAACATATGGGCAAAGGCCAAACATGTACAAAAATAAATAACACATATTAATGGGAAAAGGTGTAACTTAAGTAATAAGAAGGCTTGTCATTAATAAGAAAAATGGGAAAAAAATGGATAACCTGGTAAACTGTCGGTTCACAAAAGAAGTTGTTGACTTGATGAATAAATACACACTGTGTTAGCCTAAGTTCAGGCAAGTTGGCTAGTCTACTGAGAAGGATTCTCTGACAAAAATTTAGAGGAGTTATAGTGGCTATTTGGTTATAGAAATAAAAAAATACTGTATTCATGTGGTAGACAGAACTTTTCTAAGAGCAGTTGGGGTGTACTTGTCAAAACCTTGGGAAAAATATATGTGTTGGTGCTGTTTATATATTTATTGTGTTGTCCACATTATCGTCAAATATCATAGAAAAATGTTCAAGTTTAAGATGCCATAAAGCTGTAATGTGGGATGGCTACTTTTTGCATGAGAAAGCAGTAAGCATGACTGTGAACGCTTTTAAAGAACATCTTTTTGGTGCTATTTTGAAGCTCATAATTTTCCAATATGAATATTAATTTCAAAGGGAAACGAATGTCTGAAGTTTCTAAAGAAGCACATACTGTGGAATGGTCCATGTGTCCTCACACATCCAAACACCAGTGTGGTCAAGTGGAGAAACCTGGGGCATGTGTTGGTCCTAGTGTAGGAACTGGGTGGTAGGGCACAGAAAGGACCATGTCTGGACCAAAGACCCAGGCCTACTGAGGGTCATATGAACTGCCAGAGGATGCTCCTTCTGCCTCCTGCTTTTCCTCCTTGATTTATTTGCTGTTATAGTTATCCAATAGCTATTTGTTTTGAAAAATAATAGGTTTTTTGCAATAGTAATTTAATAATAATACAATAATAATTTATTAGTAACCAGTCCAAAAAGGAATATGAAACTTATAATTATTTTAACAGTTACTGAAAACAATTAAATACATTTATTACTGATAAAAGATAAAATACAATACAAATTTGATTCATTAAAGTAGGATCCAGCTTTATATCTAATACCTTTATAACAATTTCTTTTTTGTGCTTTATATTCATTTATTTATCTTTGCATCATGTACATTAAGCACATAAATCACTTGCATTAATGGTTTTCCTATATGTGAAAAGGATAAATAACATTTTCCACTTTCTGGTGTGGTCAGCGTGATCACATGAGTTAAGGTATGTGAAGTACTCAGAACACTGCCTATCACGTGGCACCCATTTTTTAAATTAATTTTATTGAGAAACAGATAGCAATGAGACAGTTTCAAAACCAATTAATAGGATAGTTTCAATATTTAATACATTGCATATTATTATCTTCTTAGTGGTTATTCGTAGTACAAGATGCAGACATGATATCCTGTCCAAATACTATTTGTACAAATCTTTCTTCTCATTGAATTAAGAGAAAGTAGCTGTATATCTATCCTATCTTGTAAATACAGATACAAAATGGTCCTTCCTTTATATTTCCTTTTTTGTTTAGTTTTGTTAGAGATGAGTATTCTATTACCATTTGAAAAATAATAGTTGTTGTAGAAGAATAACTTATAGAAGAAGGTGCATATTTGAATTCGAATGTACATGTCAATGTAACTTTGATCTCCTTTTGCTGTTTGAATTAAGGACAAAAATTTTTAAAAAGTGAAATCCTAAAACTTTTAGCTATGTCCCACCCTGTCCTATAATATAATTTCCCTCTAGCCCTGTTACAGATGTCTGGGACACATAGATAGTAAGTCAATTAATAGTGTTTTCTTGCTTCACTTGGCTAGTTTTCAAGAAATAAAGTTTGCTTCATTGGTGAATTGTTGCATTTCTGACTTTGGAAGTTTTACTCCATAATGAAAATATTAATATGTATTTTGCTTTTCAATTAAGTAGGAAGTTGATGTTATTCTGTGTTGCCAAGAAAGAATGAAGCGATATTTGGATAAGGCTATTGCCCAACTTGCGTAAGAATTTTACATCTCTATACAATATTATATAATTTGAACATGTAATTGAAGTTTACTTTCATGCCTCACACCAATTTTTCCTTATCTTCTTACAAACACAGGCACACACACACACAGAGGCACATACACTTGTACTTTTATTAAGATGAGTGCTTAAGATATTTACTTTAAATTTTTATTTAAATAATAAAATTTTTTAAATTTTTTATTTAAAGAAGTAATTTTAAGATGTTAGAGAAGACTTCTGCCCTCACTTGGAATATGGCTAAAATTTCTCTTAATTAAAAAACTTTTATTCTTTGATGAAAATTTATTTATATATTTTCAGCCCTAGCAGTTGGAAAAGTAGTGAGTTATATACGGGTCACTCATGTTCATTTTCCATACCTCCTTCAAGGTCTACCATCCCTGACTGCATCACTACCAAGTTCACTACATCCCATTACATTGTTTTCTTTTCCAAGCCCCTACCAGAACACAAGCTCCTCAGTGTCACTGATTTTCTTTTCTAGGCAATAATGGATACTTAATATTTAGGGAATGGATGGGAGGAGAAGGGGAGAGGGAAAAGAATAATAATCAAAGTGATAATAAGAGCTGTCAACATAGAAAAGTATGGGTTGAACCTATTGCTGTACAAGGATAGAAAGATCATGTTGGTTATGCCCATAGAAAGAAGTCGTGTTGGACATTCCACCACAAAGAAATGATGGTTGTGCCTATCCTAATGTTATCAGAGTTAGCATGTGACACTCAAGGAATGAATGTGATAACAGCATCAGTTACTGCTTGCTCAGGTTTTCCACCTTGTGTGTTGGTATCCACCCTGGAAAGGCTGGTGAAATGTATATGCAGAGATTCTCTGGAGATGTAATTAGAAGGGTTAATTAAGAAATTAATGAGAAAGGGGGAAAAGATTATTGAAGATGAATACCATGGTTTGGTTAACTGTACAGTTTCCAAGGCAGTGCATTTCTAATTTTCTATTTCCCATCCCTAGGAATTGAAAAAACAAGGTTTAGTGTAGTTTGTGGAATCACTTCTGTTGTTTCCCTCTGGTTCTCATTTTTATTCCTAATCTAAAATGTGCTTATATCTATAGCATCTTTGGCTTTTTGTGACTTAGATCCTTACAGCTCTCTAAAAATCCACTTTACACATTGTCTCCCTGCTAGCTGTACTTCTGTAGGAGATTCTGCGTGTGTGTGTGTGTGTGTGTGTGTGTGTGTGTGTGTGTGTGTACTTGTTTGGAATCTTTTCTTGGTGATCCTTTAAAGAGCTTAGCTTTCCTTTAATCTATAGTAGGCAAAATGTTTACCTCATTTCCTAGCATGGCTTTTCTGCTATGCTCTGTCCAATGATGGGGATGAAAAGAGGATTTTCCACTTCATTTGCTTTGGAAAGAACCATGAAGCCCTTAGCTGAAAAATGGAATCTTGTTAGGCCAACATGCTGGTCAAAATTCTTCCTATCTTGGGATTTATCTTGATGGAGAGCTGCTTGAGATAGCTTATCAAAGAGAGTTTTGAGGCCCAGCCAGAAGAGATCCAGGCAAGCCCTCCTCATCAAGGATATCAGCCCAAGACAGGAAGCTTAAGGAGCATCTTGATGCCAGACTACAAAGGACACCGGCCTTGTAGTCTCAGTTTCCTTACAAAAACCTAAGCCAAGAGACAATACAGGAGTAGAAAGGGCAGGCTGCGCCTTCACTTTTCACCCTTCTTATGTGTATGATTTTAGAGTTCACAAGACGAGTGCCTTGCCTGCTGCTGCCCTCTCTACTTTACAAAGAAGAAATTTTAGTTCTGTTAGGTGAAGTAATTTCTGTGAGGCACAGGCCAAGGTGGAGGGAACTTGTAGATAGAATCAGTTGGTTCAACTGAGGACAATCTTTACCGAGTGGCTCCTATATATTTTTTCTTTTTTTAAAGTACTGGGCACACAGAAATGATTAAGATAGTTTAGTTGTCTTGCTTTTTCAAGGCAGTCTGTATGCTTAATCTACATATAGCATTTTGTTTCTAGCCCAGATCTCTCAAACTTCAACAACCTACTGGCTATCTCCACATGAATGTTTGGGGAACACTAAACTAAAGTATGCCAACTTAATGTGCCTTCTCTTGCCTCTCCCACCTCAGCTGAAGGAATTCCATTATTCTGATGACTCAATTTAAGCTCTTTTTTTTTTTCTGAATGAAGTCTAATCTCATAGGCGATTCTCTTGAATTTATCTTTTAAACATATTTAGTATCTCTTCCTTCTTCACGATTGTACCCTTGGTCCAAATCACTACCATTTCTCACTCTAAGCACTGCTGTGTTCTCCCAGGTCCCCCCTAGAGTTGTTTTCAGCCTGGCATCAGAATGACTGTTTTAAATTAATGCTCTTCAATTTCATTAGAGGAAAATAGGACTCTTGCCAGTGTCCAATGTGCATGACAGTCTTCCTTTTCAAGTCTTTGCCAAGGGTCACCTGGGAAGACCCAGCCTGACCATCTTGTTTAAAATCATAATCTGTTTTTCTGGCCTCTTTCTGCCTGCCTTTTTCTTTTTACATTGTTGTTCTAACCACATAAATTCCAATTCATTGAATCTGTCTCCTTTCAGTAGAAGGCAAGTTTCTTACCGGTATTTGCTTCACCCATGGGTGCATGCCAGGCTTACAGAACAATGGCTGGCAAGTAGCAGGTGCTCAATAATTATTTGTTGAATAAACCATCTCATGAACAAAGATGTGGTTGACCTGTCACCCAATACCTGTCCCTTTCTCTGAGCCCGTATCTTTGAGAGTGAACTGTGGGGCTCTTCTATGTGGCAAGGCAGAGAAGAGCATGCCACTTAGAGCTCACCAGGGTCTCTTCCTTCCCAGTCATGAGGCTCCTGGAGCACTGAGCTGGGATGAACCACAATTCATCATTTATTTTCAAGCAATCTCTTGCTCCTACCCTGGAAGTTAATTTCAACTCTGGGTTTTACATTTTCCTAGAAAAATCTCCTAGGTGTAGCATGACCGCAAACTGGTCATGGATGGATAGAGAGAGGCTTCACTCTGAGTGTTTCATCATTTCCTGAGGAATTTCAAGTAAAGAATAGAGGAGAGCATGAGGATGTAGAGATGGAAAAAGAAGGAGGAAAAGAAGGCACAGAGGCAGACAGGTTACTGTAAGCCAGTGTCCTGTCTGGAACTGCTGGTGTGTGTAAGGAAAATAACCGCTGTTTATCTATGTTGCCTCTCCCCTTTCTTATTGCCTCTTGGAAGGGGAAGTGTGTGCAGGGCAGGAGTAGGGTTCTCATGGCCATACACACAGCCATCTCCAAAGAATTCTCTGACTGGGAATTTAAATGTTGTACGAAGGAGGAAAGATGGGGAGAACAGGAATGAGGGCGTAGAAGGGCCATTTCCTACAGAAAATTGTTGCCTGAGTACAAGGTTTTATTTCTCTGTTCTATGTTACAGCGCTGATAGAGCTGCCCAGCACGAGCTAGAAAAAGACCTAAGTGATAAACAGGCAGCTTACCGGATTGATGACAAATGTCACCACTTGCATAACACTTCTGATGGTGTTAGCTACTTCCGTGGAGTGGAGAAGGTTGACGCAACGTAAGTCACATGTGGGCCACTTCTGTGATTTTGCTGTTATTCATTTATTCTCTGTCCTTTCAAAATGATGTCCCATTATGGAGTATCTTGGTTCATTTTCTATTGTCCTAACAGAATACCCCAAATGGGTGACCGATAAAGCATCCAGGTTATTTCACTCACAGTTGTGAAGGTTATAAAAACCAAGGGCATGACCGCAGCTTCTGGCTAGGGCTCTTACACTTGAAAAGAAAGGCCAAGTGATTATATATGTGCAAAAGAGAGTGGGGCAGATTCATGCTTATTATTACGTATGATAGAGTAATCCAGATTAAATTTTGATGGGTTTTGACAAACTTGGATACCATTGTAAATACAGTCTACTTAAGATAAACAGTATTTTTATTACCCATGAAACTTCTCCATACTCTTGTCCTATCCCACTTTTTTTTTTTTTTTTTTTTTTTTTTTTTAGGGAAGGGTCTATAGGGTGTTCAGGGTCTCACTACTAGATTGGACTAGTAGTGATTCTCCAATTTACAGCCTCCCAAGTGCTGGGATTACAGGTGCACACCACCACGCCCAGTCTCAATTGCCATCTCAACTTGCCCCGGGGATGGGACCCCCACAGCAGGCCCCTGCGCCTGCTTGTAGGTGCTTTAATCTGCTGAGCTATTTGGCTGGCCCTTCCTATCCCATTTATAAGATGATCCTGAAATGGATTATCTCCTGTGGCTCTCCTGACCCCTAAAGCAGCCCTCTCTTTTGGCTGGCCTCTGGGATCATACTGCCAGTTACCAACTTAAACTTTTAAATTCTTTAGATGAGAATCAGAGCCTGTACTCTCAGTGGGCCCCCAAAATGCCTCTTATTTAGCTTGAGGAGATTATGGATCATCTTTCTTACCTTCTTGACGGGTAGGACATGGTCTAGGATCCAATCATACATTCTGGCCACTTAATTCTTTAAAAGAATGCCTCTAAGTCCAGCATGACTTCTTAGCCATCTCACACAATATCAGGGTACAGAGGGTCCACCCATGGTGGTATTTTGGGTCATTGGAGCCTAAACTAAAACCCCTATTCAACATTAAGTCTTATTTAATATCTTGCTACATTAACAAGCACATAAATATATAGATACTCCAAATTCACAATTAGCCTTCAGTCCTAGCATTCCTTCACACATTTAGGTAGCAATTTATATTTTTAAATTAAAAAGGGTATTATATACAAACTGCTATTATAGCCAATTAGACTTTTTACTTCATAACATCAGTAACATTATTTGTGAAATAAGTTTTCCTGAGTTAATAAATAAATATGGCTGAGCCTACATGAAATATAGGTTACTTTTTATATGTCATAATTAACCTTTTGACTACTTTTGAACTTTTATGTTGTTTCTAATTTTTCAGGGATCAGTATATGTATTTCTGAAATTAATATCTTCCTGCATACATTTTGTATTACTTTTTTAAATTTATGTATTTTGTACAGGGTCTCACTGCACAGCTCAGACTCATAGAGATCCTCCTGTTTTCAGCCTTCCCAGTATTGGGATTGCAGGCATGCTCCACCATGCTGGCTCATTTGCCAGCTCAGAGCACCCCAGGGGTGGGGCCAGTGTACCATGCAGGAAAGTGGATCAAACCCTGGCACTTAGTTCACTGAGCTATCTCGCCAGTCCTGTGTTACACTATTTCCTTAGAATAAAATTCTAGAAGTGGAGTTTCTAGACTGTACATATGTAAATGAAAAGCTCTTGCCTTATCTTGCCTTTTTACCCTCCAAAGAGATTGTGCCAACTCAACTTCTCACCTGTAGGATCTAGAGCTTTCTAAGCTTGCTCACCAGCACTGCAAATTACCATTCTCTTCATGCTTTGCTATTTTGACAAAGGATTTCTAACATATGCTATTTTTATTAGTACATATTTGATTGCTCCTGAGGCTGAACATATTTTCATATACTTCTTGGGTTGGTCTGACACATTTGTAATTAACCTTTAGACCTATACCCTTCATTAATGCTTTTCTGGCCCTGAAATGGTGGAAGAGGTATTTGTGCTTTGGATTAGTAGAAACTTGGTTAGAAGTAAAATAAGGAATGTTTAAGAAAAGCTTAACTTGAGCTTTACTCTGATGTTTATTTTATGCAAGGAGACTTGGATCAGTGGTTTGCAGGTTTCTCTTTCACAGGACAAATTGTTGCCCACAGACACCATCTAAACTGCTGCATCATTGCCACCACTATTTGATGTCTTTTCCTTTTTTCAGGGTCTCAGTGCCTGAATCTTGGGCAAAATTTACAGATGACAATATTCTCCGTTCCCAGAGTGAGAGGGCAGCTTCTGCCAAGCTAAGGGATGACATTGAAAACCTTCTGGTGGTGACTGCCAATGAGATGTGGAATCAATTTAACAAAGTGAACGTGGCTTTCACTAATCGTATTGCTGAGACTGCAGATGCTAAGAATAAGATTCAGACTCACTTAGCAAAGGTAAATGAACCACAAGGTAGGGTGGTAGCCCGGAAAAGGCAGGGTGCTCTGGGACCACAAATCTCTCACCACTCCCAGAAAGACGCCACATGACACATGACCTCCTGGCTACACAGAATAAGAAAACTTTAAAACAGCACAAAGTATCCCATTTAGTTTAGGCAGGTAGCTAGGTGTCAAAATGAAATTGGAATTCACTGGTGTTTGGAGCACAAAGAATGCACTGTGCAGTAAAAGATTTTTAGTACTTAATAGAAACAAAATATTATTATTGAAGTTTAATAAATCATTCCATATACCTAGGAAGAAAATTTATTATTAGAACATATGGCAGGAATGTTTTATGTTCAGTGATTTCAGACCCTTTTTCTGGAAGAACCAAATACAGGAAGCTGTAAGTAGTTCAAAGTATATTTAGCATTGTAAATTTTTGATGCTTTAAGGGTTAGGCCTTTATGATGACAATAAAGGATTCATGCAGAATTTATTTCAAGATAAGCAAGACGTTCTTCCTTTACTTAGCATCAGTCTTGTAGCTTTGAGCTACTTTTGTGGATTATATTGTATGTAGTTTGTATTTCTTGAGAGCCTTACTCAGTGATTCTTGTTGCTCTAGGGTGGCATTGCCCAGTTGAGGGTGCCATGTTCTCTCAGGCCACAGAATTTTACCTTTCCTTCTCATTCCACAGTGAATATTTCTTAAGCCAAACAATGTACTACATTGCAAAGGGCAAAGAGATGTGTAAGATCCAGCTTCTGTTTGCAAGAAGCTTATGTTTGTGAAAAGATGCATGTATGAGAAAAGTTACGAGAAATTCATAACAGGAAATTATAAGTTATGACTTTCAAATGACAAACGTCAAAAGCCCTTATGGGATTCATAGGGAGATGTAAAGATTCTAAGCAGAACGAACCTTGAACAAAGCCTTGGAGGTAGGCAATTAAGTCTGTGAAGAGTCCAGTGTGGCTGGCATGGGTGGTTTGGGTCCTAGAAGAGAAAATTCGAAAGGTAAGTTGAAATTCGATTATGGAAAACATCAGTGTAAAGGTCAATGGAGTCAGGTGGAATCAATTGAGTATTAACATGCCACTGCAAAGCGCTTTTAGAAGGCTCATGTGACAATTTGTGTTTTCAGCTAATTGTTATTCACTACTGTGTTTTTATTTCTTTTTTGGGGGTGGGCACTCAGGATGCCTTCAGGGCAGGTCTGGTTTGGCTTGAGGATGAGGGGATCAAACCATAGCATCCTGAGCCTGACTGCTTTGTTTCAGCAGGCACTTAAACACCTGAGTCAATGGGCAGGCCTCCCTGCATTCAGTTCTCAGGCTGCTATAACATAAAGTGTCACACAGCATTTGGCTTGAAGGACAGACACTAATTGTCTCACAGTCCTGGAGCTTGGAAGTCTGAGCTGAATGTGTTGCAAGATCGATTTCTTCTAAGGTCTCTCCTTTGATGTTGTTTTCTCCCTCTGTCTTTACACCATCTTATCTTTGTGTGAATCTGTATCCAAATTTCCTCTGCTTATGACATACTTCACATTTGATTGGGATGCACTCTAATAATCTCACTTTAGCTTAACACAAAGACTTATGTAGAGATTCTGTCTCCCAGTGTGTTCACACACTGAGGTACTTTGGGCCAGGACTTCAACATAGGAATTTTGGGGGGAAGGACATACAATTTAGTCTACCAGTGTATTCATGTTTCTGTGCTAGAGACCTTGACTACACACACACATGCGTGTCATGTCTTACTGTGAGATGCATTTAGGAAATGGTAAACCCATTGTGACTGTGCAGGAGAACCACTTGGAATTATAGATAAAGTGTTATGACTGCTTAGCAGAAAGAGCAGTGTTTCTATTGGTGGAGGCAGATGTGGCTTTGTGGAGTAGGTTGCATATGAAGAAGGCCTTGGTGATGGAAAGAGTTTAATAGCTTCTAGCACATTGATGAAATGTTGGGAGAGAGGCCAAAGCTTAAGCCACAGATTTAGGAGTTCCTGGAGTACACAAGTGCTAACTGTGTGTACTGATATAGGAGAGAGAAAATGCAGCAGAGGAGTTACCCAGGTTAGAACTTGGCCCTGGGGATGGATAAGCAGTTAAAAAGGCCAGGAGTTAGAGCATCATTTGACCAGAGAAAACACACAAAGCAGGGTTCCAAGAAGAGGGTGATATACAAGAGGTCTCAGTAGAGACTTGGAGAGGCAGTTTGATAAGATTGATGAGGACCAGAGGTTGAGTACAGGGGCCACCAGGAAATTAGATGTATAAGAACTAGAGGGAATGGTTACAGGCCATGCTATTTCAGCAGCAGAAATAGGTGGGGGCTTGGACATGAAGCACCTGGGGCTGGACAGGAGCGTGACAGTAAACACTTGAGGTTTTAGAGAAAATGGTGAAGGCCTCTAGAGATAGCTCAGCAGACTAAATGCTTGCTTAGGCGAGCACAGGGACTGGGGTTGATCCCTGAAACCACATGCCTTCCCCACAACTCAGGGCGTGCTGAGTCAGTCATCAAGACTGGGTGGGCACCTGTAATTCCAGGGCTGAGAAGGATGAAAACAGGAGGATCACTTGGAGTCTGAGCTGTGTAGTGAGACCCTGAACCGAATACATTAAAAGAAAAAATGGCGATACTTGGGTATGTCTCTAGGCTGCTAGTAAGAAGCCACAGGTGAGGGACAATGGTGGGAGGATGTGGAACTACCAGAGAGCAGAGGCCAAGGGCCTAGGAGAAGGGCAAGTGTTCAGAGAAGTGGGGGAGGAAGAGCAATCAGGAAGAGACTTAAGTTTATGCAGCCTGGGGGACCCTGTTTAAGAAACGAAGACTATAAAGTCAGAAATACATGAATACTATACTATACTGGTAGAGGATCATCCCATACAAATGAGGCAGCCTGAAGCCTAAACCTGATGATCTTCAAGGCAAATCTTTTGTTAGGAGGGCATCTCTCTTAAATTGGCTGGAAGATAAAGAGGCAAGGATATATTGATGTGAGGAGGGAGGTTAGGGCCACCCAACCCTCTTGGCCTAATTTTCCTCCATTACAAACTGAGGTGCGCTGGTCAGTAATCAACAACTGGTGTTGGGGTTGGTGGGGGCCAGAAACCCTGAATTTTAGCAGTTATCAGTTTCTGTGGTATATCTACTCCAAACCAGGCTGCTTTCAATTCAATAGTGTGAAGTCACTGGGCTCAAGAGCTGGGAAGAGAAGCACGATGGGTTCTACAGAGCAGACTCTAGCAAAATCTGGCAGAGCACTTTAGATTCCCTGGGGTCAGAAGTAGGAAGGAGCTAGGTTCTCAGTGAATCAACCTCCTTCTCCCAGAGGGTGAAGCAAGTGGACAGATTGCAGGCAGGGCGCATGTTGTGTAAGGGATAACACCACGCTTCAGGCAATTGCTTCTCTTTGTCACAGACGCTACAGGAGATATTCCACACAGAAATGACCATAGAATCCATCAAGAAGGCCATCAAGGATAAGTCTGCCTTCCTGAAGGTGGCTCAGACCAGGCTGGATGAGCGCACAAGGAGACCTAACATAGAGCTATGCAGAGACATGGCCCAGTTACGGTAAGGCTGGGCAGAGGGGAGGTTAGGCTCACGCTGGTGTGACCCCATCTCCCAGCCTGACTACAAGCTTTGGTTCAGTATAAAGGTGCTTTCTGACCACAGGTCATGCAGGAGCCTTCTCATTCCAGTGGTGCTTCCAGGCAGTGGATCTCCTGGAGGGGAAGTTAATAATAAGAACTGTTGAATGGGTCACATGACTCTCAGTTTGGGATGGTGGAGAAGCTCAGTTTGGAGATAGTTGGTGGTGGTGAATGCAGAATAGCATAAGTGTACCTAACGCCACTGGACTAGTCATTTAAAATCATTCATGGCACAGCTTCTATCATGTATATTTTACTATCTAGTTTTTGGAAGAGGAAATTGCATGAATACTATACAAAAAAATGTGTTAGTGAACATTTTTCTCATACAGAAAGTTCAGTGAGTGTTTGGGTTCCTCCATACTTCCCTGGAGTTTGGAATTTCCAGAACAAACCTCTCTTGGAAGCAGCAGAAGTGCATTTCTCATTAGGATGGGAACTTATCAGAAAAGGAATTTTGAGGACCTTCACTTCCACAGACTCCCTTGAGTCCCTCTGTTCTTTGTGGCCTCTGTTGGCCTTTCATATTTGCCCAGGCTATAGAGACCATGCACAGGATGCTCTGAGATCCTCAAAAGTCTTATTAGGGTCATTTTATTCTCAATAGAAATAAAATTGTCTGCTCCTCATCAGGCCTGGCTCCTACACATATATGACAGGAGGAATCTGACTCCACAGGTCATCTTCCAAATACTGTATTAATTTCAGCATTTAAATTTGACAGTTCCTTTTAGGATGGCCTTCATTTCCTAGGCTAGCTGCATTTCTCCTAGTGGAGCTGTTGTCTAGGGTCTACACCGCGGTGTCACGGGAGGCTCACCATGCTCCATGTTTCACAAAGTAGGTTTATAGGACCCCTCCTCCCATACAACCCATTGCTTAGAATAAGCCACCCTTTGCTCCAGAGGCAGGACAGGCCCTCCAGAGCCAGCCTGAAGCTCTTCTGTGCTTTGGAAGAACCTACTAATGAGGGCACTTCCCCTTGGCCAGTTGGAATTAGAACATGAATTCTGCCTTCTGCAAAAGTAATTGGAAGAAGCTGAGCTGGTGTCATTTCCTGAAACATTTCCGTAGAGCCACTACAAGGAGAGATAGAAATAAAATTCTTCAAACTGGCATTAGACAAACACAAGACTGCTTTTTTCATTTCTTTTCTTCCCCTTTTGTTGCTGAGCATTGAACCCAGAGGTTGTGCATTCTCAGCAAGTGTTTTGCCTCTGAGCTTTAATCCAGCTAAAAAAGTGTTTTTGATAAAGGTTTTAACTAGTGGCAGAATATAGAGTTACTGAGCAATCAGTGAGGCACTCACAGCTTTCTCTGAGAGGCTGAGTGATTATTAGTCCTACCTTCCCCGCTGTGCCACCTTCCCCAGCTGAACAGAATTTGCTTTTTCTTCTACTTCCTGTCAACGTCCTAGTCTGTTTTGTCTGTTTCTTCACTAGCATTGGGACAAAACCTACTTTTGTTTTTCTCAATATTTCTTCTTAGGAAAATCCTTGCCAAAAATATTCAGCATCATTATTGGAGGAGATTATTTTCCTTTGTAAATTGATCACTCGGAAAACAGCCCTTTGGCTGTTTAGATTAGAGAAAAGCAATGCTCATACTCTCAAGAGAGTGGGGACAGAGGAAAATGGCTGTTTTCATTTCAAGATTTTTATTTTTACTTAAAATATTCTAAATGGGTTCTTTCAAAAGTGATTCTAAAACTTTTTGGCATCATTGGTGGCAAGCCAGGCCAGACTCTGCTTTACTTGAATAATCCTGATGGATTTTTTAAAAAGGCTATTGCAGCTTTCCTTACACTTGAATGCAAAATTATTTTCAGGACTGTAATTTTTACAAAATGGATAGCTTCAGCAGAATAAATAGTTCCTTCCAGTCAGCCAAGAATGAAAAACTAAAGTGAAATATGACCTTGAAGATGATGACAAATTGTATTCCCATGAGCTAACAAAGGGCGCTAGTGGTGCCCCCCCGCCCCAGGTATTTCTGTCATTCAACAGGAGGGAAATAAGGACTCTGTCATGTCTCTTAAATTCTCTTATCTACACATTGATACTTTAATGTATACAGTTTGAAACAATCTCCCACAGGTAAACTTTCCACTGGACTAGTATTTGTCAGCAAGGAGTGGGGCTCATATATCACCCTGCCTCACATCCTGTGTTTGGGCTTACGGTTCCTCTGGAAACTAAGGAGGAAAAGGGGACTAGAGTCAGGCCCTGTGGGATGATAAACAACCTGCAGTCAGCAGTCTCATTCCCAGCTATTTGTAGCGGTCTACCTGAAGGGATAGTAATATTTTATACCTTGAGATCTTTTTTGAAAAGCTTTCTTTTTAATATGCCTTTCCCTAAACAATAATAACATAATACATGCTTTCAGATGAGTTCTCAGATTTTTGTATTTATCATACCCAGAACCATTGAAATTTGTACACCTCAGTTTTAATTCCTTTCCTCTCTCATTGAAGGAGGGGAAAAAAAATACAATTCATCAGATGGACAAAGTTGTATGGTGTAGATGTTCTTATGGCCTGTTATTATTATTATTTTTTTTTTTCTAGGAGCAGGGCCAGGCTCTTGGTAGATGCCTTCCTTCTCTCAAGCTTGATATAGGAGACTTAGAAGTAAATTCTTCAGGTTCCTTCCTGCCTGTGCTTTGTCTTCATCCCTTTGGGTCCAGATCTTTTTCTTGGTAGATCCTGTGGACTTGGAGTTTGGGGAAGCTCCTACTACCCAACATAATCTTTTTCACCTAAGATGGGCAAGTTGTTCTTCCTCTAACAAATATTTTTTAAAACCCAAGCACTAGAGGAGGGTCCATGGGACACAGCAGTGAGTAGGGTACCCAAGGTGTACTTGCTTAGTGGTGTTGATAGTCCAGATGAACTAAGCAGAGTATCACACGTGCCTGAGGGCCACACAAGGGTTGGTGTTCTTAGGATGCTCAGTGTAAACATCAGCCTCATTTCAAAGAACATAGGCCTCCTGTCACCTGGGACTGGAAGATGGCATTCATTAGGGACAGGAAGAGCAGGCTAGAGTGATCCTAGCTGAGAGGACAACAAAGAATCAGGCTTTGAGGCCAGAGACCACACAGACATCCTACAAGGATAGCTTTGTGAAAACTGTTTAGGGGGTGTACCAGGCATGAGATCCCCTTTGGAAGATAAGGATCCCTGAGGAATATGGGCACATGAAGAAGGAGGTGAGGTCAGTGATGATCAGGGATTTCTGGTTTCAGCATCCACAAGGATGAAGTCAGCATTGCCCAAGATGGGGCACACGTGGAGGACCTGGAGCACTGAGGTGGCCTCTGCTTTGTACACCACGTCTGCCCGCCTAGAGCTCTTGGCCAGCTGACTGATGTGTGTGTGTGTGTGTGTGTGTGTGTGTGTGTGTGTGTAGGAGGGTGGGTCTGGGAAGTTGGATGGACTTGGAGAATTTCCATACTGTTTGCATGTGAATGGTATGTTCTATTGGTGAAATGGGGTGACCCTTCCTACAGTGTGAACCTCTTCACATAACCTCTCTAAAAGATCAGGGAATGTTAAAATGCCTCCAAATTATGTTCCCTTCATATCTTGTAACATTAGTTCCAGGTCCTCAGCCACCAAAAGATATCAAAGGAAATGCTCGAGTCCCTTATATAAAATGGCACAGTATTTGCCTATAACCTGTATCTATCCCCCTGTATACATTGTCTGTAGATCCCTTTTATTGCCAATTTTAGTACAAATGTCATATAAATATAATTGTAATATTGTTTGGGGAACAGTGACAGAAAGAAACATCTGCATGTTAAGGATTGAAGCCATTAGAAATATTTTCTACCATAGTTTGATTGTATCTACAGGTACAGAATGCACAGATTAAGAAGGGTAGTTTCTGTGTTTACTTTTAAAAATAATTTTTAAGGCCTGGCCAGATAGCTCAGAAGATTAAAGCGCCTGCTTAGGCCGATGCAGGTACCGGGGTTCAATCCCAGGAGTGCTGTGCCGGCCCTGCCCCCAGGGTGCCCTGAGACTGCGATTGAAACTGGGCCTGGTGGTGTGCTCCTGTCATCCCAGCGCTTGGGAGGCTGAAAACAGGAGGATCACCAGGAATCCAATCTGTGTAGTGAGACCCTGTAGTCCCTGTAGTAAATACATTTTTTGAAAAAAGATGAAAATATAAATATTTTTTTTCTGGCCTTAACAGTAGTGTGTACTCAAGATCATAGTGGAAAACCCAGAAAGTATAGAAAATGAAAAAAAAAAAAAAAAAAAAAAAAAAAAAAAAAAAAAGAACTTCTCTTCCCCATGCAATCCAAGGTTAATGCATGGTAGTAATTTGTTAAATTTTCTTCCAGGAGTGTTAACAAAAAGTGTTCATGCTGTGTAGAAAGTCGTAATACCTGACTTTTCAACCAGAATCATATTGTGTATTTCTTTTCCCAGGGCCAGTATTTGTTCTTTTATTGAAATATTTTTTGTGCTGTATTTTATCATTTGGCTATTATATCCATTGTTGTTAGACATTAATGTTAATTCCTCTTCTTCTCTCATACTCAATAAAACAGGAAGAAATTATTATTTTATATTTTCATATCAAACTTTGCATCTTTTTTTTCTAAATGTCTTTAATTTCACAAGTAAGATAGAAATATACCCAGGTATAAAATAAATTCAAATAATGCAGATGCATATAGAGGACAAAATGAGTCTTTTTTTCTGCCCCCTTTTCCTCCCACCTAGACAACAGCTCATGGCTTAGTGCATGTCCTAGGAAATGTTCACAATGTGGCTAATATAGTATAAATAGTTGTTATAATGTTTATAGAATAATGGCAGGGGGAAAATTCTATTAAATGTACAGTACAAATCTAGTTTTTTTTTTTTCCTCCAAATACGTTTGATCTAGGATTCATTGAATCAAAAGGATGTGGACGTATAAGTAAGAAGGCTTGACTGTACTTGAAGTTTTGTTCTCAACTGACCAGAATTTAGAGAAGCAGTAGTTAAAAGCAGCTCATAGGTGGTTTGATGAAAAACCATCAGGAGAGTTATTTAAACTCCTGGCTGTTTGGTTTCCTCATTTGTAAAATGGAGATAATCATAGACAAAGCAGAGTGTAAGGAGCTTTGAGTGGAAGAATTCTTGTCCTGTGTACCATCTCAATATTCCAGGAGAACCCACTTTGTGTCCTATATTAAACTGGCCTGTGTGCTAAAATCGCCAAATTTTGAAAATTGAACCATCAGGCAGCCTTTTCTATTTGAAATTTAAATGACCAATGAGTAATATACCAAATATTGCCTGGAATTCTTATACTAAAAAACTTAATTCCAAATTTAAATATTTATAGTGTATATTATTCAACTATGAAAGGAAAACTATGTGCTACAAATTAGATGAGCCCTGAGGATATTATGCTCAGTGAAATATGTTTAAACAACTACTGTATTATTTCACTTACACTGAGTGTTCAAATTGAAAGTAGAATGGTGGTTGCCAGGCTCTTGGGAAAGGAGGAATGAAAACTGAGTTTCAGTTTTACATGATGGAGGGAGTACTCTGCATGGGTGGTGGTGATCCCCGCAGAACAGTGTGAATGTACCTCATGCCACCAGATTGTATTTAAATGGTTAACATGGTAACTTTGATATGTCGATTTTATCCCAATCTAGAAGATATTTGTACTAAAAATTACTCATTTATCTAAAATTCATTCAACTGAACAGCTTGTGTATTGTCCCCTGGGTCACCCTCAGAAGAGTCCAATGTCCTGAGGCCAATTTCCTTGGTCTCTGCTTCTGCGCTTTTATCATAAGGAGCTGAGAGGGTGGGGACAGGAAATGGAAGCCATTCGTCAGTGTAACCAGGAGGCTCCCTATTTCCTCCCTACTTCCTGGAGAACCTGGCATGGCTTATAAACACAACCGGGCTGTCTGCCTGTGGAGAAGCCAGTCTATCAATCCTCTGGACTCAATTTCCTCATTTGTAAAGCAAGGAAACAGGGCTTGATGACCTCTGACATTCCTATTCCAGTTGCAAAGCTCTGCAAAGATATACAGTTGCCTTTGCCTGATGATTTGAATATGAATGATTCTTATCACGATGAGATCTTTTTCTGTCTCAAGAGATGACTATATTTCATCTATTTAAAGCCATTATTCTTTTTATATTTTTGTATGTTTTAATGAATTTAGTCTGTTGAGGAGTAAACTCCCTAAATAAAGACAATTTTAGCTTTACATTATTGGTTAAAATTTGAGGTATACCTGTTCTTTAGTACTCAAGGGGGAATCAGTACCAATTTTCCCCTTGTATACCAGAACCCACAGATATTTAAATCTCATATATAAAATGGTAGAATACTTTTAGTCCACATATGCTCTATATAGTTTAAATCATCTCTAGGATACTTATAACACCTAATATAGTATAAATAGTTGTTATATTGTTTGGAGAATAATGGCAGGGGGAAAATTCTATTAAATGTTCAGTACATTTAATAGAATATAGTTGGTTTTTTTTCTCCAGATACTTTTGATCTAGGATTGGTTGAATCCAAAGGATGTGGAAGTGTAAGTAGGTAGGCTCGACTGTACTTGGAGTTCTGTTTTCAACTGACCAGAGTTCAGGGAAGCAGTAGTTAAAAGCATCTCATAGGAAGTTTGATGAAAAACCATCAAGAGAATTATTTAAATTCCTGGCTGTTCAGTTTCCTCATTTGTAAAATGGAGATAATCATAGTGTCTACTTCCCATTGTTATGAAGATTAAATTCCTTGACCACATAAAACATTTAGAATTATGTGTGTGTGTGTGTGTATGTGTGTGTGTGTGTGTGTGTGTGTGTGTGTGTGTAATAAATGAATGGCTGTTACTATTTTTTTCATAGTTGTTCCTTTTCTTTTTCTTAAGTTCTCCAAAAATAAGCTTAGTTTTCTCTTTGGATCATGTATCAAGGGGTGTAATTAATAAGAGGGGCCTTTGCATACTAGGATCATGCACAAATATTGCTTCCTTTCCTATATAAAATGATTCTAACATTGGTGGAACCTTTGTGCTTCTAGGAGTTCCATATGTCACTCTACACAGCAGTTACTGCTTCAGTATAAGAACTCAGTAACTATACATGCCCTTGCTTCAGCGAAACACAAGCTACAATGGTGTGATGTCTGCCAATCTAACCTTGCTTATTCCTTCCTGCAGCCTTGTTAATGAGGTCTATGAGGTTGACGACACCATACAGACCTTGCAGCAGCGCCTGAGGGATGCAGAAGACACCCTGCAGTCTCTGGTGCACAACAAAGCCACCCTGGAGCATGACCTGGCTGTCAAAGCCAATTCCCTGTACATTGACCAGGAAAAATGTATGGGAATGCGTAAGACCTTCCCCAACACCCTGCGGCTAGTTGGCTTCTGTTAGGGACCCCACCAAAAGAAGGGGTTTTGGTGCTCCTATGTAAGGGAAAACCAGGCACTGTCTCAGCATTTAACTCAGTGCTAATACATTTGCATATTAAAGGATTTTTATCAATGTAAATATATAACAATCCCTTGTCTTTGAGAGTCTTTTGTTTCCTAAACTTTAATTCTCTGCTATCTACTAGGCTTCAGGGTGATGGGAAGGATTTAGAGAAATAGAACCAATCAAAAACATAACAAAAAAAAATGACTTTTATGATTTTTGTTGTTCTGTGTGACACACAAACTGGAACAAAAGAGTGGAACCCTAGGATGGTGGGGTCGGGATTCACAGAGGCCTGTGTATTAAAGTTCTGGTACCCAGGGTCACTTTACTAGGGAGGTAGGACCTTTAAGAGATAGTGTTAACTCACTTAACTAATGAGTTAAGTGACTGGGGCCACGCCTGTGAAGCTAACTGTGGGATCCTTGCCTCTTCCTCTTTCTCCTTTCCGCGTCCTGGCCATGAGATGAGCAGTTTGCTCTGCAACATCCTCATCACCATTCCACCCTGGTGTCCCCACCACAGGCCCAACACAATGGATCTGCCAATCTCTTGGCCTAGAACCACCAAGACTGTGAGCCAAAACAAACCTTTTCTCTTTATAAGTTAATTATCTCAGGTACTACAGTGATGGGAAGCTGACTGGTGCACAAATACAGGGTGCATTTTGAGCTCTTCTTTGAAGGATGGACAGAGAAAATGGGACAGACTTCTGGATTGAGGAAGTTGGCAGTAGCTTCAAGGGGGGAAAGGTGAAAAAAAAAATAGTGATTTGGAGCAATGACAAGTATGCTAGTTTAGTTGAGACTTACAAGCTAAGGAATAGATGAAGAAATAAAATGACGAGATGTCTGATGGAGAAAGGGGTGGGAGGCTTCAACTCCTGGTTCAGGGGCTCTGGGAACTGGTATGTGTCTCTGAGCAGGGAAAGGTCTTTGTGAAAGCAGTGGCTGAGCAATGCATGGTTAAGTGTGAAGAGGCGGCAGTGGAAATGAAAGAGACATGCAGAACAGGTACCAAGCCAACAGGACTTGATGACCCTGTACCTCTCAGGTAAAAATAAGGCTGAAGCTAGATGAGATGGAAAAAAAAGCACTGCTTAATTCTTAAATGTCCTATGACATAAAAAAAAATTTAGCAACTGCTGTTATGGTTTGAATGTTCATCCAGAGGCCATGTGTTGGCAGCTTAACCCCGAAGTCATATGTTAATGATATGTAGAAGTATAGTCTTTGGGAGGTGATGGGGCCCTGAGGGCTCTACCTGTGTGAATTAATCTGTGAGTTGGTTAATCCACTCACAGATTAATGGATTAGTGGGTACTCTGGGGAGTAATTTTGCTATAAAAACAAGCTCCCTCAGCTCCCTTCTCCGTCTTCCCACAAGTTGCCCTTTCCCATGGTGCAGTGCGGCGGGGAGGGCCTCCTCAGATGCTGAGCAGAGGCTGGCTCCATGTTCTTGGGCTTCCAGAACAGTGAGGCAAGTACACCTCTAACTTAACCAGGTGTGGCATTCAATTATAGCAACAGAAAACAGACTAAACTTTTATTAGAAATTTAAAACATTTGTGTGGCATATATTTTGGAAAATAGAGAAAATATGCACATAGACACATATAAAATCTCTTGAAGAAACATCTGAAATCACTTATTATCATAGCACTCAAAAATAGTTACTTAAGTTTGCCAACGTATTGTCCATTCTTTCAGTTCTTTTGCCCTGGAGCTCTCTCTGTCTTTCAACCCATCTGTATCTGTATCTGTATCTCTATCTCTATCTGTATCTCTGTCTGTATCTCTATCTCTGTCTATCTCTAATTATACATTAGGTAACATGAAATGTTTCTATTTATATTCAAAGATAGTGTATGATATTTATATTTGAATATATAGTAATATATTTGGATTTCTACTGATAAATATTTGTGGCAATTTCTGAAAATACAGATGTACAAAAGAAAATAAAAATGTGTATTTCTAAAATAACTAGTTATTTTGATAGTCATAGACTTTATTTTGTTTCTGTTTTTATATACACATTCTTCTGTCAAAAATAGAATCATACTAAATAAAGTAGCTGGCAGCGTTATGTAAATGTTTACCTAAATATGTAAATGTTTATGTTACCTTGAGTCAGACGTACTTCTCAGTGCCTTATTCACCTCAATTAATTTATTCTTTTTCTGCCCAATACTCCTTGTTTGCCATTAAGTATAGTTGACTCATTTTAACAGCTTTCTAAATCCATTATATTGGGGTTTCAGAATTTTCTGTAGCTAATTCCTTATTATTGGGTATTTGGATTGTGTTTGACTCTTCTCTGGCATAAAAAAATGTGATTGTGATCTAGTCTTATTAACTAAATACATCTTTTATGTTGTCCTTAGGAAAATCATTAGATCAAGTCATTAGGCATATTTTAAAAAAGATTTTTACAATGTGTTGTCAATGTATTGCCTGTCCCTGCTCTTCACTCCCACAGGCATGCCTGAGTGGGCTTGTCTTCCTGCATCTTTAGTAACCTTATCAGTCATAATTTGAAATATATATCTGACTGTATTAATATCTATTTCTTGGGGATTACTAATATAGAATCCCTTTCATTTCCATTTGACATGTGTATTTCTTCTTTTAGGAATTGCTTGTTCCTATGATTTGCCTTTTTTTTCTACCCTGAATATTAACCTTTCTGAACTTATCTTTTCAAGGGTTCCCTGTATATTAACCATAGGATGTTTTGTTGTATGTACTTACAGAATATATATA